CAAAGTCATCGCCGCAGTCCATGTAGCGGCTCTTGATGTGATTGGTTGTCCGCTTGATCTACGCATGCAAAGACACCAGATCGAGCTGGACAGACGAAAGGCACACAAAGAGTTAGAATCGTGGTGTTCAAGCACATGCGTAGACTCTCTGCTGGAAGGTCTTGTTCAAGATATTGAGCTGCTCAAGCACATCAGCCAGGAAGTAAAGGAAGAAGTGAAAACGGTACGAGCTTGTCAGTGCATACATCTTGCTGTTAAGCTCTTTCAGCATCACAATCACTGTCGGCAAACAACAACGAGGCAACGTACGGCATCCCCCCTTGACAGCCACCAAACCTAGTGGATGCCTTGCACTTCAAGGCTCGTTTCAGTAAACAGCTCTTGCAAATCCATGAACCGTGCGCGGCGCGGACCCGACCGTCCCAGCAACTCGGACACAGCCCGAATAAGATCGTCGACCATATCGAAGACGAGGAGGTCCTCTACTGCATTCTTCGCTGCAAAAGCCTCCCTGCAAGTGGAACACATGAATGAGTGACATTAGCAAAGTTTAAACACGAAAGCGTAACGGGCTCTAAACCAAACCGCGCGCACTAACCTGTGAGCGATGTAGTGGACGGAGACAAGGTGCGGGATTTTCTGACGCGGTCGGACAACCAGGCCGGCCTTTGACCCCATCATTACTCTAGCGCCGTCGGTGCTAATGCCGGAAATCCTCTGCAGATCGACACTGACTGCCTGCAAGTGAGAAAGGAGGATGCTGAGAAGAGAAGAAGCAGAAGCTTTTTCCACCGTGATCAGCTGCATGAACTCGGTCACGATGGCGTTGTCGCGGATGAACGTGGTGTACAAAATCATGTGCTTCCCCCTGAGCCGATTCGTGCTTTCATCGATGCTGATGCCGATGAAAGGGCTTGTTAAGATGTGCTCTAGTTGAGTTGTCTGTAGCCGGGTGGCAAGGGACTGCGTGAGCTCACAGAAGCCGTACCTGCCAGCAGAACAAACCATGAAAATATATCAAAAGAAAATAGAAAATCTCTAAAAGCACCACTGAACTTAGCTGACTATTACTCGCGTTGTGTAGTAGGTGCCAAATCTCTTCTTAGGGAAGCCCTGAACACCCTTGCGCGCGAGGTACTGCACCAGCTTCACCATGTTCCCATGGGCGCATCGCACTGACTGACGAACAGCATGGAGTCAAACAACGCCATGACTCGGATCTTCTCAGCATCGACGGCGACACGATGTTCGTCGATCCGTGGCTGCTTGGACGCCACGTTCAGCAGAGCCTCCCACTTCTCCATCGCTAGCTTGTGTTTCGTCGTACCGGCGTGCTTGCGAAACGCCTGAGTCTGCACGTCGGTCGCCCCTCGCCCTGTCCGGCCACATCGTCCCATGACTCCGGCATGCTTGGTGCAGACACTGCACTTAAAAGCAGGGAAACCGGATTTAGGTTTTGTTAGAATGCGCCACGAGAACCTCTCTGACCACTTAGTTTGGAACATCACGAGGGCGTCTGCATAAACGGCTCCAATGGCCTCAGAAATGTTTATAACCAATGCTGGGCGAGGGGAGGTGTTGTTCACGACAGGTTGCTCGACTGCGGCGCTGGAGGATGGCCTTGCCCAGCTCAGCGTCGACTGCTTCAGCTTGAAGGTGCGCGGGGCAGAGGACTTCGTTCTAGGCAGCTCGACTACCACGGCGTCGGAGACGGCAGCTGGCGCAGCTGGCTCACTCCGGATCGAATCCGGGCTTGAACAAATGGGTGGGTGGTCATGGTTCTCGACCTCGACTCGAGCAGGCTTTGCAGAAGGAGGCCTGGGTGCGGGGACACTAGGGCCAAGTGAGCGCAGGAGCATATCAAGCCCCGTCATGGCTTCCTTGAGGCCGTCTACTTCATCACTATCCATATCTGCGTCATCGTCGCTGGCCAAGCCATTGGCATGGCTATCCATGCCTGAAAAAAGAGAGCGTGCCGAGCTCTAACGTTGCTAGTGTTTGGGAAAACCAGGGCGAGAGGCGGGGTTTGACAGTGCAGCTCGCTTGGTGGGTGGGTACGGTGGGGTCATCAAGAGATGGGTGTAAAAGAAGAGCCTCTCGTTCTCGCCACCCAGCTGCAACGCGGCGCGACGTGGGGGCACCATGCATGCACTTGGATGCAGGTTCGGGGTGTTCTTGGCGCAAAACTCGGAGGGAAGCGCAGCGCGGTAGCGGGTGTCACTAGTGCGGAGGTGAGTGATGAGGTCAGCGACTGTGGCAAACGCAGCTAGGTCAGGGAACAAGTACGGTAGCATGAGGCGGCTGAGGGCAGCAGAGGCAGGGGAGGAGTAGCGTGCGACAACAGCATCATACAGAGACTTAGCAGTCTTGTACTGGCCAAAGTGCGCGCGCTCAGCAGACGGCATGTGACTACGAACAGCTAGGCGAGCAACAGCGTCACGAGTAGTCCACTGCGAGCGAACCGTACTGTCAGCGTCGGCAGCAGGTGCAACAGAGGCGCCGGACGTGTGATCGAATAGCGAAACTCCGTCCCTGGAGTCGCACTGAAGATAGAGCTGCAAGTCGTCTACCCAAACCTCAAAATCGACCGCACGGCCCTCAGCATCGAAGGTAAGCACAGTAGGACTAGCCATGGCGGCGGTAGCAGCAGGGCAGGGCGGCGCGGCACGGCAGGGCGGCGCGGCTCGGCAGAGCGGCGTGGCTCGGCAGGGCGGCGCGGCTCGGCAGGGCGGCGCGGCTCGGCTAGGCGGTGCGGCGCGGCAGGCAGGCAGGCGCAGCGACGCGCTTGGCAGGGCGGGCGCTTACCAGGGGCGGGTGCAGGGCAGGGCCGCGACTGGCGGGTAGGGCAGGGCCGGTACAGGGCGGCAGCTGGGGAGGGCCGCTGCGGCCCTGAAAAAAAATCGTTCCCACTAGGGAACCTGCTCTGAAACCATGTCAAAATCAGGAATGAAGAATGACAAGAAACACAGCAGTACAAGGTTTGTATATGCAAAACCTTATTGGGCTGTACCCCTTAAGGAGTGCCCCACTACAGCCTAGAGCATAGTTCTGACAGACTGCCCAGCGAATCGAACCTCAGACCTTACCGTTAAACATCGATTGTACTATCTACTGATGGCCAGTGTGTATAGATCCCCATAAATATTTTTCGAAGTGCTGGTCATTTCTGGCGTTTTTCAGGAAGGAATAGAAATATGCATTCAGTGTACACTTCGATAAAAGGCTGAAAACTCAGTGTTAACTATGAAATGAAGGCTGAAAAGCCAGCCTCAACTAAATCTACACACTGAAAAATCAGTGTAGGTACACAAAAGTAGGATGAAAATCTTGAATTTCTGGGAAAACTTCCTGATATCGTAGGGCCTGCTCCCAACCTAGTTTCCTAGCTAAGAGCCTATATTAACACCAAAATCTCTAGCATTCACAACCTTGTTCTTTACTCATGTGCACAATTTCATTACACAATTTCATTACAACTCATTACACAATTGTTGAACCCTCAAATGGTGCTAGGCCCAGTATGGTGTTGAAAGGCGGAGAGAACAATCTTTATCGTGGTACCCCATGAGGCCATTGGAACATTCAGATAATGAGTGTTCCAAAGTTAATGGGGTGTTGGTGTGTTATGATAACGCAGACAGACATGTATCCAGATTGTTATGATATTTAGGTTTCTCTAAAGAAGTGTGAATTTTTTTTTGATATGAATCTCTGTATAATTTAATCCATGACAAAGGAAGAAAATGCAGCACATTACTGAGTACTATTCTATATCTGATGTTTATTATAAAGTAAACAGTTCGTAATATGGGCAAAAATAAACCATTGAAACGAATATACTGTAACAAATCCTCCGACGTTGTCAATCGCGAAGCAGCCTTCTTCGCGACAGACAACGTGGAAAACGTACCTCCCTACAGCAGAAAATAGGGCGGCGAAGTGCTACATCCCTCGCTACATGGCGGCAAAGGGGTACTTTAGGGTTTACTAGCCACCCGTATGTTACGTGCGGCATCCATTGTAGGTTAGTAGCTAGCTGGCATCGTGATCTACATAGGCACCCTTTCGGTGTCGCTGCTTTTGTTTTCCTTGCCCGCTGGAAACTCGCTTTGGCGGAACGTGACGTTGCTATTTTACGAGGGCGGCAGAACTCGTTCTTAACTCGCGGACAAAGGTGCACCCCACGTTGACATTGGCGCGCGTAGATTTTTAAGTCGACTCAGAAGTCCGTTCTTTACTCGCGGACAAAGGAGCACCCGGCGTACGTTGACACGCGTATGTTCTGCGTCAGCACAGCACCCCCGTGGGCCCTTGCACAACACCCCCAAGCCAAAATAGTCAACTGGTCCTTCAGAACACAGCTGACGCTGGCACTCGAATGAGCGGCTCAGAACATGCGGGGTGACAATGTCGGCGGGCACCAGAGCACGTTCTTTCCTATCTGCGCGGCACCGACACTGCGTTGGCACCGTTCTGCGTCGGCACCGGGCGTAGGTTTATGTGGCGTCCCCGGCCTAGGCCCTTGTACAGCACCCCCAAGCTAAAATAGTCAACGGGTCCTTGTTACAGTAACGCCGGCACAAAAAACGAACCGTTCATAGCATACGGCGGGCGCCAACGTCGCTACGTGGGCAGCAGAACGTAACGTTCGTCGTTTGCGGGGAAGGGACGTTGGCACGGCACCCCCATGGCTGCCCAGCGTTATCCTGGGAATCCCTTTGGGTTGACATTCGCTGCCGCTGTTGATCTAACCTGATCGCTCCCTCCAGGGGAAGGCTCCGCTTCGAGGCGCTAGACAGCCGTGGGTTGCGTGAAAGCAGTGAGTGCCCCATTTCTCAGCATAAGTTCCGTCCCTTTCACAGCTAGTACCATCACTTGGGACCGTCAGTTGGTTCAACACAGTTCACTCCTGCAGATCCACTCTTCGTTTCTCCTTGTCCCTATCGCTACTCTCGCACACCCTCCCGGTCCCACAGTGCTTTCAACACACGACCTTGAAAATGGCTTACTCTCGGACGGCCGCCGTGGTCGTGCTGCTGCTGCACGCCGCATGCCTCTCATCGCTGCATCGTCTCGTTGCGGGCCACGTGTGGCCTCTCAGTGAAGCCTCCCGCCGCGAGATGGCCGTCAAGGCGCCTCGTGAGTGTTCTAATCAGTCGTCCGAGGGACTGCCTGCAGTCGTCCATCTCGTTTGACTCGCCCTGCCCATTCCATCCCAAACCGTTTTGAGAGTTTAATCTCCCCATGCCGCCCCTACTAATTCTCATGTCCGTGCCTCTCCCCATTCGCCCCGCCCCGCCTCCAGCCGCATGCCCCGCTGGCGTGGTGTGCCCGACGGGAGCGTACTGCGTGGTGGACAGCGGCGGCTTCCCCTTCTGCAAGTGTCTGAGCGGGCAGGGCATCATCAACAACGGCGCGTGCATCGGCGGAATGAGCTGGAAGACGGTGGCCACGAGCGTGGTGCTCTACAACGCCGCCTCCTTCGCCAACTCGCCCGCCACGCTCGCACCCGCCGTGCTGCGCGCGCCAGCACCCAACACGTCGGCGTGCAGGGTGGTGCCGAAGGGGTTCAACGGCACGGTGGGGTCGCTGCGGATCATGTGGAACGTGAATGACGGCGCGAGTAACCACCTGGTGTGCGGCAAGCTGGTGTTCTGGGACAAGAAGGACTGCTCTGGCTCTTCATTTGTGTACGAGATTCCCGGCAAGTGGACGGCCGCCAAGGCCGACAACTTCAAATACGCCACCACCAGCGTCAAGTGAGTGGCCGTGCTGCAGCACCGCTGCATTGCCCGTGGCTCTGCTTCTGCTGATTGCGTTGACCGTGGCTCTGCTTCTGCTGATTGCGTTGACCGTGGCTCTGCTTCTGCTGATTGCGTTGACCGTGGCTCTGCTTCTGCTCATTGCGCTGACCGTGGCTCTGCTTCTGCTGATTGCGTTGACCGTGGCTCTGCTTCTGCTGATTGCGTTGACCGTGGCTCTGCTTGTGTTTGCCTGCGCTAATCGTGACTCACTCTGCTCTGCGTGTGTGGGCTGGTGGTGCCACGGAGTGCAGGAAGGCAGCGGGCGTGGTGGCGACGGGCAGGTCCTTCTCGTGTCTGGCGGCCGTGAAGCCGCCTGAAACGGACCTGTGCTCCACGGCGGCATGCCCGCCCAGCTCCAAGTGCTCCCTCAAGAACAGCACGTATGCTGTGTGCACGTGCGACTCTGGCACCACCATGGTCGACGGCTACTGCGTTTGTCAGTCGTCTCCCACCCGCTCCCCTTTTCTCCCCCTCTCTCCCCCTCTCTCCCCCTCTTTCCCCCTCTCTCTCCCTCTCTCTCCTTCTCTCTCCCACTCACTCCCCCTCTCTCCTCCTCTGTCCAACGTCACATTCACGAGATGTCCTTTGCTCTCATTGGTCCGTTTATGCACAAACTGGCTTCATGCATGCGCACTCCTGATAACACCAATCTGCTCTTTCTTTCTTTTGGTGCAGATTCGTGCTCCGTCCTGCAGTGTGGCACGAATGGCCGCTGCGTTCTTCTCTCGAACGGCCAGCCGTACTGTGATTGCAAGGATGGCTACGAGCGGGAGTTAGTCACTGGCTCATGCATTGGTATGTGTGTGTGCTTACATTGCTCATGCACTGGTATGTGTGCTTAGCTTACGTTGCTCATGCATTGGTGTGTGTGCTTACATTGGTGCGTCACTCTCTCTATCTCCCTCTTCTCTTTCCACCTTTTCCGTCTCCTCATACCCTTTTCCATACTCTCTCTCTCTCTCTCTCTCTCTCTCTCTCTCTCTCTCTCTCTCTCTCTCCCCATGCTATCCCCTCCTTCCTCCCCATTCTTCCCCACTTCTCCTCTCCCGCTCCTGCTTCCTTGTTCTCCCACGTATATCACACCCGTACCTATCCCCTTTCGAGAATCGGCGTCTTCCACTCCCTCTTGCACAGAGTCACCAATCTCACGTCTGCCGCTGTTTCCTCAACCCCCATGGTGCCTACAGGAGAAGGGCAATGCAAGGACTGTCTGCAGGATACCTTTGGCATGTTTGATCTGCCGTACACTTACTGCCCACCGGGCCTCAACATGCACTCTGGTGCTTGCCTGCCAGGTGGGTACTGTAGCCTGCCAGGTGGGTACTGTAGCCTGCCAGGTGGGTACTGTAGCTCTTCGTGCGATCAACAGGGTAGAGCTTACGATGCACTTGCTGCTTCACCATCATTTCAGGGAAGCAAGCATCTTGTGCCTGATTCTTTTTTTCCCCCTCTCATGCTGTCTCTGCCTGATCCATTCTCCTCCCCGCCACTCCCCGGCGTCCAATCGTCCAATCACCTTGCCGTGCCTCACCTTGCCGTGCCTCACCTTGCCGTGCCTCACCTTGCCGTGCCTCACCTTGCTGTGCCTCACCTTGCCGTGCCTCACCTTGCCGTGCCTCACCTTGCCGTGCCTCACCTTGCCGTGCCTCACCTTGCCGTGCCTCACCTTGCCGTGCCTCACCTTGCCATGCCTCACCTTGCCGTGCCTCACCTTGCCGTGCAGGAATCCTTCCCGACGTGGCAGACGTGGCCATCAGCATCTACAACGTGCCCGCCTTCCAGAGCACGGACCCGCCTTACATCTTCCGCCTCAAGCCCAACAAGTGCGTCACCATCCCGCCGGACGTGATTGGCAGCAGCAAGTCGGTGGGCATGGTGTTCCGTGCGCCGGGGACGAACGTGCGGTGCACCACGATTACCATCTACGATGCGCTCTTCTGCAAGGGGAACGCAATCAGCTCCGACGTGCCGTCTGGCAACGACATGGCTATGATTCCCCTTATGTGAGTCTCTATCTCTCTCCCTCTCCCTCTCCTCCCTCTCTCCCTCTCCTCCCTCTGTCCCTCTCCTCGCTCTCTCGCTCTCTCCCTTTCTCCCTCTCCTCCCTCTCTCCCTCCCCTCTTTCCCTCTCCTCCCTTTCTTCCTCTCTCCCTCTCCCTCTCCCTCTCTCTCTCTCCCTCCCTCTCCCTCTCCTCCCTCTCCTCACTCTCTTTCCTCTCTCCCTCTCCTCACTCCTCACTCTCCTCCCTCTCTCCCTCTCTCCCTCTCTCCCTCCTGGCTGCTCTTTTCCTTTAGGTCTGCCCTCCAACTTCCCTGTCTCTAGTCCTCAACGCCCACTATTTTTGCCATTATTCCGCATCGTATGCATGAGCTCTCAAATGATTGCCTTCTTTGAATCGTCATGTGTCTCTCATCAGGAACAATGGACTGTGGAAGCCCTTGTCGGTTCAGTGCTTTCTGTGGGCTGTATGAGCCTTTGCCTGGGAAGACGTCAAGCTTTGAGATCCTAAGTCCATTTAGAAGGCTGCATGGCATCGGAAGAAAAGTTTTGGATGTTCAAAATTTGTAGTTGAACCCTTCTGGGCAACAAGTAGTTCTTCGCTAGGAGTTTTCTGCTTTCCCCCACTGTTCCCCTTCTTCCCTTCTCATCTCCCCCTTTTCCCCTCTTGCGGTTCCACTCTGTTCTCTGTCCTCGCTTCTTTCCTGTTGATTATAGTACGGTACCTAGCACAGTTTCTTTACGTACCTAGCACAGTTTCTTTACGTTGTGGCAGAATTTAGTACTGTTTTAATTGAATATTCTGTCACTTTTGGGCAGGCCCTCAGATATCAGCGTAAAACACGCTGATTACGCTAATTTTGTAGCTCTGATTTCCGTTTTCCCTGGAAAATCAGTATAGTCCTCAATTTTGCACTGTTTTTTCAGTATTTGTAATTCTGCCACACTGACCCTTTTGCGTGTTTCAGAACAAGTAACACTGACGAATCAGTATACTTCAGCGAGTCACACTGAAACGGACTTGACCGCGGGGGGGGGGGGGGGGGGGGGGGGGGGGGGGGGGGGGGGGGGAGTTCGCGATGCGGATACAGACTGTACCTTCCCGTGATTGACGAAACCCCACCCCACCCATACACTTGGAATATTTTCACATGCCTTGTACTTACAGCTGTGCGCGCCGAACCATTTTGCCTCGGTGGAAGCCATCACACCAGAGTACGATGAACCTAGTTCACAACTGCCCAATGAGAACACAGACAACACACCACTTGTGGCAGGGTCCACGCCAACACGCCATAAAATATGGCAGTGGGGTGGGGGTGTTGTCATCTTGCCTGGAAGGACGGAAACCCAGGACCACGATCCCTCGCCATGGCGGCTCGGGAGAGGGGGTACCCCCATCTGCTCCCTCATTCTGTTCCTGCACTCGTCCTGCAGGAAGTGACGATCGAGCCCAAGCAGCAGTAGCTTCCCTCTCAAGCTCGGCACGCTCAGCACAGCTGAGCAGCCATGGCGGATCCAACGCCCGCAGGTGACAACCCCGAATCCGTCCCAGCCACGAAGCCAGCCGCCCTTACTGGCCTAGACTTCCTACGACGCGCTTCAGCTGCTCCCGCGTTAGTCTCGCCATCAGCTCCTACCGTTGTTTTCCCTTCCTCGGGCCCCGAGGCACCTACCATCTGGACGCAGGGAGAGTGTTCCACGCAAGCCGGCGCTGCCGCATCACCTCCTGTCGCTGCCGCATCACCTCCTGTCGCTGCCACATCACCTCAAGTCGCTGCCGCATCAACTCCTGCCGCTGCCGCATCAATTCCTGACGCTGCCGCATCAACTCCTGCCGCTCCCGAACCCACACGGAAGCGACGTCCTGTCGCTACCGGAACTACTCGCGTCGGCCCCCGTCTCAAAAGGGGTATCAAAGTGACGTACCGCCAAACAAAGATCCAGTGGGGTGTGAGTCAATCTACGCCAACGTCTGGTGCGGGGAACTCCTCCCCGAAGGCCCGACAGCGTAAACAGAAGGCGCCCGCGGTTGAGGTTACCTCCGAAACAGAACTGCCCGACATAGCCGAGGAGAAATACCAGGATGCCTTATTAATGTTCAACAAACAGTGGTCTGACGATTTTCCATGGCTTGTTCTGTGTCAGACGAGTGCAGGGTTTCCGTCAATGAAGTGCTCGGTCTGCATTGCGCACGGCGGTACGGGCACGAACTTCGGCGCCAAAGGAGAAGGGGCGACCGATGTGCAGACCCAGGCAATGCGGAAGCATCAGCGCACAAGGAAGCACCGCCGCGCACAGCGCAGACAGAGGACAGCCGAGGCGGCGCTCAAAGCTAACCGCCGGATTGACGACAATGCGAAGGTGAAAGACGTCGAGAAGGAGCGCCTGCTCTCGCTATTTGAGACGGCACTCTTCATCGCAAAGTCAGACGCCCCGATCGAGATGTACGTGGACCTCGTCCAACATCTATCGCAGCGTGGCACACCGGGCTTCCCAAAGAGCAGTTATGGTGCCTACTACACGACGTAAGTGACACTGCTCTAGTACATATCGGTGGCGGGTTGTGATATACATGAAGCTTTCACTAACCACACGCGTTGAAATCCGTGCAGGTACGGATTCGAAGAGATCACCGCCGCAATAGCGACATACCTTCGTGCGCGCCAGAGGGACTTCATTGATTCGAGTCCATTCATTGGTCTGACGTGCGATGAGAGTACGGACCGCGTCAAAGGCAAGCACATGATTGTGTTTGTAACCTTTTTGCGTGATCATGCCGTCACCACAGAGTTTCTGACTAACCTCTCCATCGAGAAGTGTGATGCAGCATCTCTTTATGCTAAGCTCACGGGATTCCTTGACAGCATCAGCCTGCCGCTGGAGAAGGTGGCGGGTATCAGCACCGATGGGGCACCTGTGATGATAGGCAACGACACGGGCCTCGTTGGGCGTCTTCGACTGGAGATACCGCACGTGGTGGCTTCTCACTGCATCGCACACAGGTAAACTGTTGCTGTGGTGGTGTTGTTGCGGTGTGAGATGTGCAACGTGGTATGTTGCAGTGCGAATTCTAACACCCCCACCTGTGCTGTTCTACCCGTGGCAGGGAAGCGCTTGCTGCAAAGGAGGCAGCTAAGGCACTACCCGAGCTTGGCATAATCGACGCGGTTATCCGCGCATTGGCGGAAGATCTCGGCAGATCCAGCAACTACAACCGCAAGTTCAAGGAGCTGCAGGAAGTGTTCACGCATACCAACCTCGAGGTCCAGGGGATCCATTCCGTCGGCTGGTTGAGTCGCGGCGATGCAATCGCACGCTTCGCCCGCGTTCTGCCTGCTGTCATCGTTATGCTCGAGGAGACGGACAAGGCGATGTACCACTTGGTGACGTCGTTCAAATTCCATTTCTTCCTGTTCTTCCTGGCAGATGTGCACACGGCACTCAACGCGCTCAACCTGCTATTCCAGAAGCGTCAGGTGAGTTGTTGAGTTACGTTGTTCAGTTCTCTTCTTCTCCCAGGTTCTTATCTTTTGTTTCGGTGTACCAATTCTCCCCCTACCAACAGGTTGACCTCACTGCAGTGCACTCCCAGGTGAGGCGGACCATCATCTACATGGAGCAGAGGTACCTGAACTGTGGCCAGCAGTTTGGCGGTGGGACCAGCGAGCTGCTGTCTGCATTCCTCGCGCGGCACGCCTCTCCTGACTGCCGTGAAGTGACTGTGGAGGGTGTGGACAAGGAGGGTCAGCCCCGGGTACACAAGTTCCAGCTGCACGAGGAGGCAGTGAAGGGATACACCACCAGCAGCGGGGACATGCAAGGCTGCTACACCTGCTGCCGCTCATTCGCCCGCGAGCTGGTGTACAACCTCGAGCTGCGCTTGGGAGACCTGACGCGCTTGAACGGGGCGAAGCTCTTCATGCCCCGCTCGTGGCCGAGGGGCGTCGAGGCAAGAGACGCAGAGTGCAAGGAGCACCTGCACGGCCTTGTCCATCTGTTTCAGGCCAAGAACCGGGACACGATCTTGCCTGGTGAGTTAGAAACAGAACCACACTGACCTGCGTGTATGCATTGCCGTTTCCGTGGTTGCGTTATTCCCATCCTGAGAGCTTGACGTTCTACCCGGTTGTGCTCTCCCGTTTGGCAGGTGTCCTGAAGCGTGCAGCACGAGGGGAGCTGCGCACGTTCCTGCCGGTGCTCTCCACTGCCCCCAAGGAAGAGCAGCCCTTTCACGCAGGTTTGAAGGCCATCTTGCAGACCAGCGACTGGCAGACGAGCTACCCCAACTTAGTCCGTCTGTGGGCTGCGGTCGCTGTTCTGCCGCTCAGCACAGTCGAGTGCGAGCGCGGGTTTTCCCGCCAGAATGTGATCAAGTCGTGGCGCCGGACGAGTCTCTGCAACGCCAAGCTGGGAGATTTGTTGGCGATGAGTCTGCTCGACTACGACATGGAGTGGGATAAGGTGGTGGACATCTGGCGGAGCACCAGGAAAAGGCGCCCCAGCAAGCGCAAGGAGCAAGCTGCGCCACAGATGGAGCGGGCCACGGCCAAGTTTGTTAAGCGGAGTGGCCGCCGGGTGGTGCAGGTGGAGGAGGAGGAGCTAGACGAGGGCATGTATGGTTCTGCAGGCGATGGCAGTGAGAGTGATGATGATGATGCCAGTAACAGCAGTGGTGATGATGCGAGCGTTTCTTCTTCTGATGATGACATGACATGAGCTAGTTAGTTAGTTAGTGGTAGATTCAGCCAGATCATGCCATTGGTGCTGTCTGTCACAATGGTGGTAACTTTGGTTGCATTGCATTGCATCCATCCATCCATGCACTGTTGCATCTGCACTGCTTTTTTGGTTTTTTTTACACTGCAGGTTCAGTTTACTAAGAATTTTTACACTGACAGTATCAGTATAAAGAAAACCACCAGCGCTGATTTGGACACCTGGTTGGCAGGGGCACGCTGATCCATCAGCATACCCTCAAACCAATCTGAGGGCCTGCTTTTGGGTGTGCTGTGCTGCTCTTTTGATCCCCTTTTCATGGACCTGAGTTTCTTCATGAATCAACCCTGGATAAGCCACCCGTCAAACTATCGGATTCCCAGGGTACCTTTTGCTTCAGCCAACTTTTACTATACCCTCCTTGTGAGTGATTTTTTTTTGGAGACAAATTGCATAAGCCACCCCTTAAAACTACCGTACCAGAAACCCCAGGGTAGCTTTTGCTATACCCTCCAGCGGGTGGCTGGAGAAAATTGCCACGTGTACACAGCTGGCACCGAGACAGTCAGGCACGAGCGGGCATGAGATGGGATGGGAGGAGACGAGGTGAAAGGAATGAGAGAGAAGGGGGAGCTATGCCCGCGCAGCCATGAGGTGTGCAGACACGAGCACACACTGCAGTGCGCTGTGCGGCAACGAGAAGGTGTCGGTGAGCGAGTAGAAGGGACAGTGGCGAGACACAGATGGCAGCGAGACAGTCAGGCACGAGCAGCCATGAGGTGGGAGAAGACGAGGTGAGAAGAGCCGGAGGTGGTTATGCCCGGGCAGCCATGAGGTGCGCTGACACGAGCACGAACTGCAGCGCGCTGTGGGGCAAAGAGAAGGTGTCGCCCAGTGAGTAGTCGGAGAAGGCCGGGTCGAGCGGCACAAAGCGCCCCACCAGCCCCTGCGCTGCCACCAGGTCGTGCCACATGGCCAGGAAGTCCAGCAGCAGGGGGCGCGCGTCGGGGAGGGAGGAGGTTGGCAGGTACTCGATCTGATGGGGAAGGTAGGGAGGGTGTGAGAAGTGGATGGGGATGGGAAAGTGGACAGATAAGGAGGATGAGACGTTGTGATTGCGCTAACACGAGGTCGTGCCTGAGAGCCAGGAATTTGAGGAGGAGACGTGTGGGAAGGATGAGGCAGGCACGTACTCTACCTCATGAGAGGGGGAGGATGGGAAGGAGATGGGGAGCAGACAGGGAGCAGAGGGGACGAGGTGAACAAACGGAGAGGGATAAATACGGGAGGAAGGATGAGGGAGGCATTGCACCTAATCAGGGGAATGGGTGTGGGAGTAGGCAGGGGGAGAAGTAGAGGTACCGAAGACAGGAAGGGGAAGGGAAGGTTATGAGGAGAGGGAAAGCACTATGAAGCACGGGGATGAAGCCACTTGCATATGAAGCTTTGAGCTGAGATCAATCACCCATCGCCCCACACACGCATTGCCCCACACGCATTGCAAATCCAGTTTTGGAAAGCCAAATGGGCCAAGTCGGATGACCAATGAAGGGACACTATTTGCGGGCCAATAAAACGGTGCATGGGGTGGGAAAGACGGTGTGTTTCACAACAAGAACAAGAGAAAGGGCGTGAAAAGTGCATGTGAGCTGCCCCACCTCCCACAAAGCCCTATCTGTCCCCAATGATTCACCGCCCCCCCCCATAACCACCCGTCTCCTCATCCCTCACCTCCCCACAATGCCCCACCCATGTCCACCCATCTCCTCATCCCTCACCTCCACCACGATGCCTCGCAACGCCTCATTGGTGGAGAGAATGGCGCGGCCCAGGCGCATGGCGAAGTCCCCTATCAGATACTCGAAGCCCTGCAGGGGGAGGGGTAGGGGGACGGTGGAAAGCGGGAGGGCAGCGGTTAGTGGATGAGGGGAAGAGAGGACAAGCGGGGATGGAAGAGAGAGAGAGAAGCGTTAAGGCATGAGGTGCTTAGAAGTAGCTCAAGGCACTGATGATTAAGTCGCAGAATTCAGCCGTGCAAGCTGGGCAGAGAGGCGGAAGATGTGAGCGTGGGTGAAGCAGCACACACGGTCACCCATGTGCGGTGGCCTTGCTCACGCTCACCCCAGCCCCCCTCCTTCCTCATCAAGGAAGGGTCGGAGCTCATACAGCAAGCGGAGGGTCTGACCTCGTAGACAGAAAAAGGTGTAGCGGAGTGGGGTTTGGGGGGATTCTCAAACACCCCCGACAAGAATCACGAGCAGCACAACACTCGGAGACAACGGAGACGCCGTGCAGTGTGGCACCGGACGGACAGGGCAGAGTGTAGCAAGTGCGTGTTTGCCCCACCTCATACACAATGGAGACGGTAAAGCTGCAGTGACTCCATGAGCGTCTTTGCAGCTAGGGAGGCCCTGAGGGGGAGGATTCTCTCACTCACCTCCCACACGAGCAGGGAAGGCTCTGACCTGATAGTAAGGGGAGTTTGGGGGAAAACGGGGGGAACCAACCAAGGGGAAGGCTCGTCGCCTCCCCAAGTGGCGCCTCACCCCGTGGACGCTGGAGAGCAGTGCAGTGTACATTGGACATTGGAAGGTGCAGTGCGCAGTGCAGCAAGGGAGAGCCTTTTCCACCTCGTACACAATGGAGAGGCGGTGGCGGTACAGCTGAAGGGTCTCCATGAGCGTCTGTAGCAGTGGGTGGGAGGGGTGGGGCCCACACCTCGCACTGCAAAAAGGGGTCCTCACATCCAACCAACATGCCTAGAGAAGGCTCTGACCTCATAGACAATGGAGAGGCGGTGGCGGTAGAGCTGCAGCGTCTCCATGAGCGTCTGTAGCAGTGGGTGGGAGGGGTGGGGCCCACACCTCGCACTGCAAAAAGGGGTCCTCACATCCAACCAACATGCCTAGAGAAGGCTCTGACCTCATAGACAATGGAGAGGCGGTGGCGGTAGAGCTGCAGCGTCTCCATGAGCGTCTGCAGCAAGGAGAGCCCTGAGAGGGGGTGTCTCACTCCCTCACCTCTCATACGACAGGGCCAGGCCCTCACCTCGTAGACGATGGAGAGGCGGTGGCGGTAGAGCTGCAGCGTCTCCATGAGCGTCTGCACGCTGCTCTCCGCCTCCACCACCACCCTTTTGAGGCGCCTCAAAAGTCCTCTCATACGGCCAGGGAAGGGAAGGCTCTGACCTCATAGACTATAGATAGGCGGTGGCGGTAGAGCTGAAGGGTCTCCATGAGCGTCTGCACGCTGCTCTCCGCCTCCACCACCACGCGCTCCTGCCGCAGCACCAGGAAGTGCCGCCCCGCCACGTCAGCAAACGACACGCCGAACAGCTCCCGCGCTGCCGCCACGTCAGACTGGGGTGGCGGCGCCCCTGCCGTGTCTGGCGCGAACGGGGGTGGTGGAAGCGGGTGGAGGAAGGGGGTGGTAGGAGGGGGTGGTAGGAGGGGGTGGTAGGAGGGGGTCAGTGAGCGAATGCGGTCGCAGGGAAGGCAACACTGCCCTTGCTGCTGCTTTGAGGGGAAATTGAATATAGATTGCCTTCCCTCCCACTACTGTGTGTGTGGCTCGAGTGGCATCCCATCCCATCCCATTCCATCCCATCGAGTGCCAATGCCACAAAAACATTCCTCACACAGCCCATCCTCCTTCATTCTTCACTCCTCAGCCCCCTCTCTCTTGTTTCTCTCACCTCGTGCGTTGCCAGCACCCTTTCCTCACAGCATGCGGGCTCTCAACGGCCTTCCATTCCATTACACTCATCAAGTTTAGTCACCGCGTGTGTTGGGGCGGTACAGCGAGCAAGTGCACTGCCAGCGCCCCTTCCTGACGGCGGGCAGGCTCTCAATGGCCTTGGCCACGTCCGTGTAGGTCGCCAGGGACAGCAGCGACGACGATGAGGGCGGCGGGGCTGTGCTGCCGGGGGGCTGGGGGGGTGGCGAGGGCTGCCAGTGCAGCAACCTGAAAGGTGTGGGCGGGAGTGGAAGGAGAGGAGAGGAGGGGAGCGTATGGGGGGAGAAGGCTGTGGGGGACAGGGGAGTGGGGAAGAAAGGAGTAAGGGACAAGGCCCGTTGTTCACAGCAGAGAGGCTCTCACTTAATGGCCCGGCCCATTGGTGTGCGTGGTCAGGGACAGCAGCGGGGAGAATGAGGGCGCTGAGGCTGCGCTTCCGGGGGGCTGCGTGGGTGGGTGGGAGGGATGCCAGTGCGGCAACCTGAGACGTGGGAGGGGGTTGGTGAGGGGGAAGGGAGTGTGAGAAAGGGGCGAGTGTTGGCAGGGGGCGGATGTGGGCGTGCGTAGGTGGCTCGACTGAGGGAGTGGGGGACAGGGGGAGAGGAGAGGGGGGTTGATCGGGTTGTGGATGAGGGGATGAGAGAGTGGGGGCTGTGCTCCTGGGGGCCTGGGAGGGGGAAGGCGAGGGCTGCCAGTGTAGCAATATGGGATGGGGAGGAGAAGGGCGGGAGGGGCGCGGGGAGAATCTTCGAAGTGAAGGGTATTGGGAAAAAGAGGAGGGATAAACTGAGTTGAAAGAACATGAAAGAGGGTGTGTATAGCGTGCTGCATGCGCGGCAAGGTGACGTGTTAATTGACGAGCCTGTGTGCTGCGGACAGTGGGGGTTTGCGCGGGGGTGAGCACGCAGGGGGGTGTGCGAGCAGGGGGGTGTGCGAGCAGAGGGGTGTTCGCGCAGCGGCGAATGTGGGGAAGGAAGTGCAGAATAGGGGGCCACCCTGGAGTCCGCCGCACTCCACTCACCAAGTGACTCCCATGGCGGAAGCGCGCCCTCCCCTCGCCCGCGCACCGACACAGCCGCGCGTGACACACTCGCAGCTGCAATGCCCGTCAGCACGCCGGGAGACGCATGCAGGGCTGGCGGATTCGCCGCACGGGTGAGTAGGGGGCAATTTGAACGCGAGCTCAACCGCGATCAAACACGATCAGCACGGAAGCCGCATGCCGGGTAGCTGCTTTAAAAGCGAGCTCCAGCGCGCTCACTCCTCAGGCGTGCAGGAGCTGTCAGTACCGGACACGTGGGCTGCGGAGGCCCACTACGGGCGTGCCGCGTCGCGTGCAAGTGTCGGACGGCCGAGGGGGTCGCACGTCGCATGCGGGTTCGCATGCGATCGTTGCTTGCGACTGGGCGAATGCGAGTGGAATGCACAGCAGGTGGAACAGCGGGGCTAGAATTCAGATTGCCGCCAATCCGGTGTTTCCAGGGCAACACCACGTGCTCGTAAGGGTCCTGGATAGGTGTTAGGACAGGAATGCGCTAATTGACCCTAAATCCCACTTATCACATACTTGCACTTGCGCGACGCCAAAATGGTGGGAGTGAACTTTGGGAGCAGGGCGGTTCCAGAGCCTCGAAGATAGTTCGGCTGCGTTCTGTTGGCGCGTGGGTTGTGTACCCTAACTGGGAATGCAACCAAAAACCGACGCGAACTTCCCCCGAACGTTCCAAGGTTTCTTCATCATCAGTTGGACATCTCAAACCAGAGTTGTTGCGAACTCCCAACGTGTTTGCTCTTGCTTGGCGAAATTCGCGAACACGAGAGACAGCGTGTTGAGTTGATAACGTTTTTTCCGACTTTCCTTTGACCCCACATCGTCAGCATCGAGTTTTGCTGCAGTTTTGGCAGCAAATTTCACCTCGGAATTCCACCTGGAGTTTTCGGTCAGGAAACACGCTCGCAAACCGCCAAACAAATCTGCCAAGGCTGAAACCCTAGCCTTCTAACCTACCAGACCTCCTTACTAACGACGCTCTACGCATTTCCTGGATACTTCCGAAACTTCCTTGTATTCTATTTCAGTTTACTGCTGACACGCGACGTCTACCGCAAGCGCGCTTCGACCGAGGCCCGCAATTAGGTGTGCTGGAATAACAAGTCATAGCGACTGAGGCGTGGCTGCGTGTTGGCACGTTTGTTGCTAAGTGCAAACCGCTAGTGTCGCAATGCTGCTCAGCATATTGAGCTTGTCACGAGTATCGCGAGGTGTCAGGCGGTCGATATTGACTGCCACGTGACGTCGTCATTTTGCTTCCGAAGTCGACACCAGTTATACTGTAGAACTGATGGGTATTTTACGCCGCCTTTCGTCGTATTGCTCTGGCTCAATCAAAACCTCTTCTCCCCCTTCCCGTTTTCCCCGTTACAGAATGACTCGCTCGCTTCTCTTACAGCGCCTACAGGCGGTCGCCGAGCAGCAACCTCCCAGCCAGCCGCCCAGCAGACCGCCTGACCTGCCGGCGGAAGCCGCGCAGAGGGCGGAGGCTGCCCGCCGCGCAGGCGGCCCCGCGGCAACAACAGCGCAGCGAAGGGAAGCAGCCGCAGCTGGGAGGGCTGTAGGGGGAGATCGGGATGGAGAGGGGCGAGCGGAGGAGTGGCGCGGTGGTGTGCGGTTGGAGTCGGTTTTGGCCGCCAACCCCCTCGTCGCCCTGCCTGCCCCTCCCGTGCCCGCCCTCCCCCCTTATGCCTTTCCCTCCCCCACCCTCCACTCTTCCCCCTTTGGTCTCCCCGCCCCTCCCCTGCGCGCGAGCACTTACGAGCCTGCTGTGCTGGGGAATGGCTTGACAGGGAGGGGCAGTGCCATGCTCGCAGGCACATGCACAGGTACGGGCATGGGCACAGGCACGGGCACGGGCACAGGTACGGGCACGGGCACGGGCACGGGCACGGGCACGGGCACGGGCACGGGCACAGGCACGGGCACAGGCACGGGCACAGGCAGGGATTTGCGTGAGCGGTGGGAGCAGGCATTGCAGAGCGGCAAGGGGCGGGCGATGAGGTGGAGTGACGAGCAGACAATCGCCCTGCTGAAGATCATGCGCGGCGTGCTGCGCTCTCAGGGCAGCGCCCTGTCCGGCAGGATCGAGGACTGGGGGGCGGTGCACCGCGAGTGGCTGAGGCGAGGGTTCCCCAGGTACTCGGAGGAGCAGCTGCGATTGCGGTGCAAAGTGGTGCGCGGGTGGGTGAAGGACATTCGGGTCCTCCAGGCGCTGCTGCTGCCTGAAGTCGCCTGGGACCCCACCACTCAGCGCTTTGATCCCGACTCCAAGGTGAGTGAGAGTCCTCCACGTGAGAGAGGGCGAGGTGAGAGAGGGCGAGGTGAGAGAGGGCGAGGTGAGAGAGGGCGAGGTGAGAGACGTCTAGACGCGCTGTAGTCTGTTGCCGTGTTTTAAGCCTTACCACCCTCCCCTGCCTCCTCCGCCTCCTCCGTCATCGCACACCAAAGACCACACTCCGTCTCCCTCCCCCGTCCCTCGGCTGTTTCTATCTTCCTTAGCCCCTTCCCCCGCTCCCTCCCCCACTTCCCACCTGCCACTGCAGCTGGGCATCATCCCGCGGCTGAAGCAGCACAGGCGGTGGAAGCACTACAGGCGGTGGCGCAAGCACACGGCGCCCTGGCTGCCCCTCGCTCTGCTCAACGGCCACACTTGCCCTGCTGCGGCCCCACTGTGGGGCGAGGAGGAGGAGTGGGAGGAGGAGGACGAGGAGGAGGAGGAGGATGATTGGGGAGAGGGGGAGGGAGAGGAGGATGATGGGCAAGAGGAGGAGGATGAAGTGGTGGAGGTGCGGGCTGAGGGGGAGGAGGATGGGGAGGCGGGGGAGGAGGAGGTTGAGGAGGGGGGAGGGGAGGAGGGATGGGGCAATGGAGAGCGAATTCGGAATGTGGCAGGGAGGCATAGGCATGAATCAGGAAGGAATGTGCGGAGTCGGAGGGACAGAGGAGGGGTGGAGGCAGGGGGGGGTAGTGGAGAGCGGTGGAGGGGTGGAGAGTGGGATGGTGATGAGTGGTGGGGGACGAGGAGGGGGGACGCTGGGCGACAGGGAGGGAAGGGAGAGGGCTTGAGGAACAGAGAGAGAGGAGAGGGTGTGGAAGTGAGAGGGGTTGGGATTGGGGGGGTCGGGGCTGCATATGGGAATGGTGGGGTTGGGGCCGTACAGGAGAATAGTGGGTCTGATCGTGCAGCTGAAGTACTGCGGGCCAATGGTGTTCCTCGTGCTGAGGTGGCACGTAACAATGTCACTGTTGCTGATGTGGCTTGTGCTGCTGACGTGGCTCGTGCAAATGGGACTGCTGCAGGGCGACTGGGAGGGCAGGGAGGGGGCGTGAGGAGCAGAGAGGGAAGAGAGGGTGTGGGCGGGAGAAGGGTTGGGAGTGGCGGGGTCGGGGTTGCACAGGGGAATGGGGGGGTCGACCGTGCAGCTGACGCACCGCGGGCCAATGGCATTCCTCGTGCTGAGGTGGCACGTAACACTGTCGCTTTTGCTGATGGTGTTCGTCCTGCTGACGTGGCTCGTGCTGACACAGAACGGGCTGCTGACGTGGCTGGTGCAAGTGCGGATGAGAGGGACGAGTACCCTGCGAGGCTGGCAGCGCGGATCGCTGGCATGGCAGTGAGAAGGAGGGAGCAAGGCGGCACAGAGAGGCTCGCGGTTGAGGGCGAGGGGGGAGGGGCCGGGGATGGGGGAGGAGGAAATGCCAATGCACGACGGGGGGATGGGGATCTTGAAGGAGAGAATGGGGTGGGGGAGAGGCAGGAAAGAGAGAGAAGGGAGGAGGGGAGAGCGGGGAGGGGTGTGAAGCGGTCGAGGCCGGTGTGGGTGCAGGCAATGGAGAGGAAGCGGCAGCGGCGGGTGATGGAGAGTGTGGCGCGTGCCCTCACCACGTTCAGGAGCATGGCGGAGAAGGGGCAGCCCCACGTGCACCGAGGTAGGTGATGCCACTCGTGTATAGATGTACGTGATGGCAGGCGTGCTCATGCACAGAGATCCGTGGTGTGATGGGATGGGATGTGATGCACTGTGGTGCTGTGCGATAATGTGGTGTTGTGTGGTGTGGTGTTGTGTTGGATGAGAAGGCGCAACGCAAACATGGCTGCCAGTGCGGATGCTATGAGGAAAATGTCAAAGTTGCAAGCGTTGAAAAATGATTTGCTAGATCGAGGGTTTAGGGTGGAGACTTATAGGGTGATCAGATGACGAGCACGCCTGACAAGGTATATGATGACCCATATGAACATTATAGTTATTGACAACATTATACTCGTCCCCACAACTCCTTATTTTTGCCCCTTCATCCTACCTTCCTCATCATCAGATGCAGCAGTGGCAGACAGTGCGTTCGAGTCAGTGCAGGGCGCTCAGACCCTTCTTACATAACATCTCCTAACTGACCCCTATCCAACCCCCCCCCCCAGCTTCTTCTTCTCCGGACCGTGTGTTTAAGTCGGTGCAGGACGTGTAGTGCAGGCCTCCCTACGAAACATCTCTTGACCCCTGTCCCAAACCCCCTCGTTCTTTTTCACCACCAGATGCGGTGGCGAACGGTGTGTTCACAACACCCTACGCTCCCATTTGCGAAGAGTTACTTTACACCAGTGGGAGCTAGATCATGTTCTCTCTACTTGCGCATTCAGTCGCAGTTTGGCAAGAGTTTCACTAGCAAAAACTAGGTGCACAATGATGGAATGGTAATGGCAACAATGGCTACATCAATAACCTAGCAACCTAGCACACTGACAGGTCGATTTCTAGCGCAACACGGAGGCGGCATGCCAGCACTGCAAAGCGACACCGTGCCAACACGGCTGGGAGGAAGCTTGCTAACGTTGCAAGTCGGCAGCCTGCCAGCATTGCACCAGAGCGGCTTGCCAACGCTACAGCAGGGCGGCCTGCCAGCGTTGCAACCGCAGGTGACAATAGCGCACGTGCGCACACATATTTCGCAGGTGCGGGTCGACAATTAAGCACGTTGTGCATCGTCACAAACATTGCGCAGGTGCCAAGTTGGCCACGTGCCAACGGTTGCGCCAGATGTGCCACTTCGGCCTCGCAGTACCAACCCGCAGATCGGTTTTGCCAAAACCACATGGGTGACCAAGTTTGTCGACTTCCTCGCCCAAGTCGGCGTCGACCATTGACAGCAGCCAGCTGCACCTCTCGCGTACCCGACTGTTAAGTCAGCTTCGCCCAATTGGGGGTGGGGCCATTTCCCGTCAACACCATTACCCCCCCCGCCCTCCCTCACCCCACCCTTCACCTGCAGACGTGGTGGCGGACAGTGTGTTCAAGTCAGTGCAGGACGTGCAGGCCCTCCCCTCTCTGACGGACGCGCAGCGAGTGGCGGCCATCGACGCCTTCCTGCAGCGCCCCCTCGACGCCCACGCCTTCCAGGCCATGAGCCCCGCCCTGCAGACCCTCTTCGCCCGCCGCGCCCACGCCCAGGCCGTCGACCGCCAGCTGGCCGGGATTCAAGCTGCCGCTGCTTCTGGGGGGAATGCGCCCCTCACAGACCGGCTCCTCGCCCCGCTGCAGGGCGGGGCTGGTGTGGCTGGGGTGGCTGGTGTGACTGCAGGTGTTGGGGAGGTGTGGGGGGGATCGGGGATAGGGGGATTGGGTGGGGGTGGGGGTGTGGGGGGGATGGGCGCAGGGGGGGTGGGTATGGGGGGGAATGTCGTGGGGGCGATGGGGTTTGGGGCAACTGGGGCGGGGGGGGTGGGAACATCAGGGTTGGGAACGGCAGGGATGAGCATGGGGGGTACAGGGATGGGGGAAACTCTGGTGGGGGAAGCACGTTTGGGGGGAGTAAGAATAGGTGTAGCAGGAAATGGGGGAACTCGGATGGGGGAAATAGGAACGCGGGGAGTACGGATGGGGGAAACGGGAACGTGGGGAATGCGGATGGAGGAATCAGGGACGCAGGGATTGCGGATGGGGGAAACGGGATTCGCTTGGAGGGGATTGGAAACGGTGGGGCAAACGAGAGCAGCGGGAGGTGGGGGTGTGGGTGTGGGTGTGGCAGCAGCAGCAGTAGCAGCAGCCTCAGCAGGAGGAGCGAGGGGTGTACAGGGTGTGGGAGGGGTAGGAGGAGGAAGAGGGGTTGGTGGGGGAGGAGGGGAAGGACGGGCAGAGGGGCCAGGAGGAGCAGGTGGGTTGAATAGCGCAGGTGGGTTGGGCGGCACAGGTGGGTTGGGCGGCAGACAAGGGGCGGGCAGCATGGCAGGGCTGCAGCAGCTAGGGCATCGCGTGGAGGAGTTGGTGCGAGAGAGCCTGAGAGGAGTCAACAACGCCTATCAACAGGCAGTCAACGCTGGTCAAGGGGCAGTCAATGCTGGTCAAGGGGCAGTCAATGCTGGTCAAGGGGCAGTCAATGCTGGTCAAGGGGCAGTCAATGCTGGTCAAGGGGCAGTCAATGCTGGTCAAGGGGCAGTCAATGCTGGTCAAGGGGCAGTCAACGCTGGTCAAGGGGCAGTCAATGCTGGTCAATGCTGGTCAAGGGGGTTGGCTGGCATTCCAGTGGTGGTCAACGGGATTCAATGCGAGTGCCCTGAGTGTGTGGCTGCTAGAATTACGGCTAGAATGTGTCAAGGCACAGTTAACGCGAGTCACGATGCAGTCAATGCGAGTCAAGCAGTGGTCAATGCGGGTCAACCAGTGATCAACGCGGGTCAACCAGTGGTCAACGCGGGTCAAGCAGCAGTCAACGCGAGTCCACCGGTGGTCAATGCGGATCCAAGTAGGGGAGCATCAGCGAATCAGGTGGAGACAGCTGTCGGCCAGCCAGGGTTGGGTGCAGGTCCTGTGAGAGGAGCTGCTGTGTTACAGACAAGAAATGCTGGTCAAGCACCAGTCAACGCTGGTCAAGCAGCAGTTAATGCAGGAGGAGGGGCAGTGGGTATGGATCAAGGCAGAGCGGATGTGGGAGCAGGGGGAGGAGGGTTTTGGAGGGAAGCAGCGATCGTGGGGCTGCCTTTGGTAGAGCGGCTGCTGCAGGGCCAGGCGAAGCAACGGAGCGGTGTTGTGGCGAGGGGAGAGGGGGAGACCGGCAGGCAGGGAGAGGAGCAGGGAGGGGAACAGGGAGGGGAACAGGGAGGGGAGGCAAGAGGGGAGCAGGGAGGGGAGGCGAGAGAGGGGCAGGGAGGGGGGCAGGGAGGGGATGAGAGGGTGGGGACGGTGAGTGTGCCGGGGGGCAGGGGCAGCGGAGGGGGGGTGTTCACGCTGTCGCACTGCTGTGTGGCGGACGGGCCGGCAGGGCAGTGCAGCCTGTGCAGCATCGTGGCTGACCTCGTCAAAGAGCTGGCGGGAGGCGCTGCTGGGGGAGGCGCTGCTGGGGGAGGCGCTGCTGGGGGAGGCGCTGCTAGGGGAGGCGCTGCTGGGGGAGGCGCTGCTGGGGAAGGCGCTGCTGGGGGAGGCGCTGCTGGGGGAGGGGGTGCTGCTGGGGGAGGGGGTGCTGCTGGGGGAGGGGGTGCTGCTGACCTCGTCAAAGAGCCTGGGGCGCCTGGTGGTGGGGGGAGGCAGGGCAAGGAGCTGGGGGCGCCTGGTGACGCGGTGCGTAGTGGGGGCGAGATTGGGGATGATGGGAGAGAGGTGGCGGGTGATGGGAGAGAGGTGGCGGGTGATGGGAGAGAGGTGGCGGGTGATGGGAGAGAGGTGCGCGCCGGGGGCAAGGTGGGGGGTACTGAGGGTGAGACGAGTGGGAATGAGAGAGAGATCAGTGGGAAGGAGGGAGAGACGAATGGGAAGGAAGGAGAGAGGAGTGGAGAGGAGGGAGAGACTGTTCGAAATGAGGGAGAGATGAGTGGGAAGGAGGGAGAGAAGAGTGGGAAGGAGGGAGAAACTAGTGGGAAAGGGGGAGGGACTAGTGGGAAGGAGGGAGATACATGTGGGAAGGAGGGAGAAACATGTGGGAAGGAAGGAGGGACAAGTGGAAAGGAGGGAGAGATGGGTGGAAAGGAGGGAGAGACGAGTGGGAAGGAAGGAGTGGCGAATGGAGAGGAGGGAGAAACTATTGGGAACGTAGAAAAGACGAGTGGGAGGGAGGGAGAGAAGAGTGGGAAGGAGGGAGAGACGAGTGGGGGGGAGCAAGAGACGAGTGGGAAGGATGGAGAGATGAATGGGAGAGGAGGGGGAGGTGAGTGAGAAGGACTAGATGGACCAATGGTATGATAGTAGGATCTTGTTGTTTTGTTTTGTTTCATTGGCATTTTTTGCCAATTTTATTTCATGTACCGGTAAGTATTAATATCATGCGCTGACTCCCTTGTCCGAGATTTTATGCAAGCTCAGCGATGATGCTAGAGTGAGTTGAATCTGTCTATGGTGGGCTACGTATTGTGAATTCTATATATACATACTCTTGAGAGGGTATACGGTTGGTACATACTCATCTACTCATCTGTATGCCCTCGTTCTGGTCATTGATACCTCTATTGACATGGCATCAGATTACGTTACGATGGGTTATCACTTCTGCCCCGCCTACCTAGCTAGCTCTCGCTTGCACATAGCGCCTGTTGGGCTGAGAAAATAGCCCTTAGGATCTTTGTAGGGGTGAACTCTGGGTAGAACTGATGTAGTAGCGGAAGCGTTTTAATAAAGAGTTTGTGAACCACCTTGCGCTAGTGTGTGAGGGCAAAGTTGATTGATTAAAGCAACTCCACGCCAGCGACTGCGCCCACCAGCCACGTCGACCTCGGGATACCACCCCCGAGGTCGGCCTCGCAGAACTACCCCGGCAACCTTTGTACACGTCACCTGTGTATCCCGGTCGACCGGGCAACCCCACCTGGTCGACCAGCTCAGTCGGCCGCCGGCTGCACAAGCCCGGCGCCCTCCTGCTCAACCCCCAGCTGCTCGACGTCCCACAGCTCGGCGTCCCCAATCTCCCCTGTCGAGGTCGACGTCGGCCCTTCCTTCGTCGACCATCAGGTTCGGTCGACCACCAGGTCGACAACACTCTTAGCAGCTGGCCACCCAAGTCAGCTGCCCCAAGTCGGCGTCGCCAAGTCGACGCCCTATACAGGTCGACCTCCTCCGAAGTCGGCGCCCTCCCGAAGTCGGCGCCCTTGCAGTGGCCCCCGTACAGGTCGACCAACCCCGTCGACCAGTTCGCCCACTGCTGCAGGTCGGCTGCTCCCTTCATACCCGACCACGAAGTCGGCTTCGCCCAAGCGAGGACGGGGCCGAACACAACTCCCGTTTACACGGCGGAGGCAGCATTTTTCGTTGGTTAAACTAGGAAAGGGCTGCTAGTGAGGGACAGGAGAGGAGGGAAGAGAGGCGGCTGGTGCTTGTCGGTGCAGCCCTGCTGGTCGAGCTGCTGTTGGCGTTGCTGGAGCTGCTGAAGCAACCGCCCGTACTGTTGCGGCCCCTGCTGTTGAACACGCTGCCGCTGCTGCTGCGAGGGAGGGGTAAGGGCCTGGTGGGCCTGGGTGGAGGAGCGAGGGGCGTAGAGCAAAAGGGGGCGTAGTGCTTTGCAGCACGTTTCAGTTGCATGAGTGGTTTGTTTGCAGCGTTGGCCTCGAGTAGGACCATGAAGGGGCAAGTACTGACAGGGCGGGAAGGTCATGGCTGCACCACAACCAGCATCGCCGCAATCGCTTGAACAGCCTCTCCCACCACTACGCCCACCTCCACGCCCACCCCCACACTTGCTCTTGCTGCTTCACGGCTGTGCTGGTGCGGCGATGGCAAAGTATTTCAGCCTCTGTGGTGATAATCCACTATGCAACCTGAGCAGGAGTGTGATGCTTGGAGATGGGCTGCATGTATGCAAGCTTGTGGGTGTCTAAGGCAGGGGTGAGGCCCTTGAGGAGGTGCAGCAGATGAAGGTGTCAGGGTAGATGACATCCAATGCTGCAAGGCAGCGAGCAAGGCCGAAGACGTGGCGAGTGAAGGTGGCTACGCTGGTGGTGGAGTTCATGGAGAGGTGAGTGCGTAGAGGGTGGCAATGTCCTGCTTGTCAAAGAGGCCGACGAGCAGTTGCCACAGGTGGGAGGAGGAGGTAGGTGAGAGCTCTCATTTGATGGAGGAGGGGATGGTGGCAAGGAGAATGGCAAGAGCGTAGCTATCAGTATTCCGCCATGCAGCAATATTGGTGGTGTAGGCGGTGAGACGTGTGGTGTATGTGTCGAGCTGGTCTTGATATTCGCGGTTGCAAACAACAACATCATCGTAGATACACTTTGCATCCACATAGCGCACTTGCCGACGGAGGTGGTTGTTGAGGGTGGTGCAATAGGTACGGATGGTAGTCTTCGGTGTGAAGGAGGGAGGATCACTAGGTGACTCAGGCTCGGGTCCGAGAGCATCGGGAGCAGGTCAGATGGGGGCGGTAGGGACGAACGGCTGAAGACCACCCTCTTCCTAGAACATGATAGACTGGAGGTGTAACCACTGACCACTACTGAGGGGTATACATGGGGGATGTGACCCAACAGCTCGAGGGTGTCGAAGGTCGCTAAGTTGACCTACGAATGTGACGAAGCCATGATGGCGAGGGTAGGAAGGGGCCGCTGCTGGTACTGCCGCCGATGCCGCTACTGGTGCCGATGCTGATGGTGCTGCTGGTGTCGCTGCTGGTGCCGTTGCTGGTGTCGCTACCTGTGCCGCTGCCGATGCTGCTGCTGAACCGCTGTTGGTTCTATTGGAGGTGGAGTAGGAGGAGGCAGGGCAGGGGGGTAGGGCACGTGCTGGAGGTGCGTGCCTAAATGGGGCACACGTCAGGGGCGGCTGCGCGCTGGTCGGCTGCAGCTACGCACAGGCCTTCCGCGACAACGGGCTAGGCGTGCGCGACTGCATGTTGGCCGTCCACGACGGCACGCCTATCGTCCATGGCTTCGTGTTGGCCATCCATGGTGGAGCGATCATCGTCGGTGGCAAGGGTAAATGACATCTAATGCTGCAAGGTAGCGAGCAAGGCCGAGGACGTGGCGAGTGAAGGTGGCTACGCCGGTGGTGGAGTCCATGGAGGGGGACCAAAATTCCTTGATGAGCACGTAAAAGGTGGCAATGTCCTGCCTGTCAAAGAGGTCGACGATCAGTTGCCACAGGTGGGAGGAGGAGGTAGGTGAGAGCTCTCATTTGAGGGAGGAGGGGATGGTGGCAAGGAGAATGGCAAGAGTGCGACAATCAGCATTGCGCCATGCAGCAATATCGGTGGAACATGATAGACTGAAGGTGTATCCACTGACCACTAATTAGGGGTATACATGGGGGATGTGACCCAGAAGCTCGAGGTTCTCAAAGGTCCCTAAGTTGACCGACGAATGTGACGACTCCATGATGGCGAGGGTAGGAAGGGGCCGCTGCTAGTACTGCCGCCGATGCCGCTACTGGTGCCGATGCTGATGGCGCTGCCGGTGTCGCTGCTGGTGCCGCTGCTGGTACTGCTGCCTGTGCCGCTGCCAGTGCTGCTGCTGGAACCGCTGTTGGTTCTATTGGAGGTGGAGTAGGAGGAGGCAGGGCAAGGGGGTAGGGCGCATGCTGGAGGTGCGTGCCTAAATGGGGCGCACATCAAGGGTGGTTGCACGCTGGTCGGCTGCAGCTACGCACACGCCTTCCTCGACGGCGGGCTAGGCGTGCACGGCTGCATGTTAGCCGTCCACGACGGCGCGCCCTTCGTCCATGGCTTCGTATCGGCCGTCCGCGGCGACGCGCTCGTCATCCGCGACCGCGCGCCGGCTGTCCATGTCGGCGCGATCGTCGTCCGCGGCTGCACGGCGCGGGCTAATAGCCGGTGCCGCTGCCGGTGGCACTGCAGTTGTTTACCACTGCACGGCAGTCCGCGACGGGTTGAATACGTCTGCGGCGGTGGGCTGTCCGCGACGACACGCTGCGACTGCGTACGGGCTGGGTCCACGACGGCGCCTCCGACGTCCGCGGCTGCGTGCAGCTCGTCCGCGGTGAGGGGAGATGCAGCCGCGAGCAAGGGGAGGGAGGGGAGTTGCAGCCGTGGGAGAGCGGAGTAAGGCCACGAGAGGGCAGATCGGGTCTGCGGGAGGGCAGATCTTGTTGGTGCAACCTACGGTTTGCACTCGGCTTGTTGTCCGTGTGCGTGCATGCGTGTGTGCATGGAATGGTATGAGGGGTTGAGATAATATAAAAATTGTGCTTATAATAGTGTGTGAATGTTGAGTCGTGATGACGAATGTGTGTGTGCCGAGTCACTAGCGAGTTATCGCTAGTCGCGTGCCACGCACTCGTTTGTGTCCCGTGCGCGGTTTCTGTCTTGTTGTGTGTCCCGCACGGTTTCTATTTTGTCCTGTGTCGAACGTTCAGCGTGTTGCAGGTTGAGCAGCAGACTTATCAAGAACTCAAGGATGAGTTTGTGGTGAAGAATCAGAGCCTTGGTTTCAAGATTCAAGTGATCGCGAAGCTCGCGAAAGGGGTACACCTCAAGATATTGAAGACAGTTACATTACTTTGTGTAGTGTAACATTTCACTTGGTGTAGGCCCTTGTGAAGGGTAGCTTCGAGACCCTTTGTGATTTGGGACAGTGTGGCACTGTTCCACATCACTGTACCTTGGCTCTTGGGGTTTGTAGGAGCTGAGAGTCATTCCCAACTCGTAACTCTTCCTAACTCTTCCTATCTTGTGTTCTAAGACTATAGTGGCTGTCCTAGTGACATTCGTTCAAGACGTTGTGTCGTCAATACTTGGTGAAATCGTGAGATCTAAATTGCCTATTGTAGGCGACGTTAAGACGCTCTAGATCCAAGTTGAATCAGGTCATTTCAAGCCGTGACCAGAACGCTATGAACGTTTAAAGCCGCTGTGTAGAAATCCGACTGTGCACTTTAACTTTCGTGTTAGGAACAGTGAAGCCTACTGTGACTATAACAAGTGGTATCAGAGCGCCTTGGAGCAGCTTCGACCATGGCTGGACCCGAAGAAAGGGATGGAAGAGGTGCTGGAGGCAATGGAGATGCCCAAGTACAAGGCCAAGCCCGTGATTCAGCCGTGGCGCCCGTGCAACCTACTCTTGGACCTTCAAGGGATGAACCAAGAGTGTTCGGGCTTGACGAGTTCAACGGCGACAACTTTGCTGAATGGTCCTTCAGAATGGAGAATGTATTTGACCACTATGACCTGCTGGAGGTGATGGAAGGAACGGAGAAGCGTCCCGAGAACGACCCGG